TGATTAACGAACTTCCAAAATTTGAAACGCTCTGCACTTGCATTTGTTGTGTCTGTGTCAGTCAATATTATATTCCCGCTATACAAATAACTGGAATTGGATTTCTTGAAACTTGAATCAGGAACAGGTCTACCTGTAACAAGCTCTTGCCTGGCGTGCAAAATAAAATACTACTTATGGAATTCTTAAACTTCTATATTGAATTTTTCGAAAGTAATTGAGCTACAGGGGGGCAAAAGATAAAATTTGACAGCTCTATTTACACTTTGAGAGGACAATAATCAATTAACTAAAGAACAATGACAAATAAGAGAGGAAGTATCTTGAAACATAACTAATCACGTGTTATATCCTTAGAAAGACTGATACTGTTTAGGGTTTCAACAACATTAAAAAGTCTTTCAATTTCATAAAAACGTAGCTTATTTGTGTTTGACCTTAACGTGTACGTTAGAGCTAGTGATTAAAGGAAGTTACGCAATGCATAGCGAGTCATAACAAAGTGAACTCTACGAAATTAAAAATGGGAGGAGTGACCCATTTAAAGTGTCCCGTGCATTGCATAATTATGTCTCTTTTCTGCACGTGAAATATTTAACCTTCTAAAAATAAACATAACATTTTGGCAGGAACAATCGCGTTACACGCAACTGCTCAAAACATTTGTTTGCAGTACTGAAAATGTTCATTTTTGTAGAATTTTCACGGACACACGTTATAAATGTACATAGTCGTGTCAAAAATCACAATTGACCTCGAATAGTCGAATAGTGACAATTTGTATCATGTGCGATATGCATATGATTCAATGTTAGGACCACAATCAAATTTGGAACCTAAACTCGAAATCTACGGCAGCCATAGGTGCGTCGCGATTACGTTTTATTACGCTATAGTCGTTGAAAATATATCAAGTTTTATTAGTTGTTTTCTTCGGTCTTCACACTTGATTAGGTCTATTTTAACCTTCATAACTTTTGATTTATAGAAATTTGTAGATTGCGACCCTTCTTCATACGCCAACCTAGTATCGCCTTGCGCTCAATATCGAACGTATCGCTCCACTCTTGTCTTTTCGCTCCACTACTTAAAAAAAAATATCGATTACTTTAAAAAAATATCGATATACAAATTTAAGAAATCCGACACGAGTTATTTATGTTGCACGAAGGACAAGGTATTGATACGGGTGGATAAACATTTTCCAATTAACCGTTCCAAGAAATCCAAAGGGTACACATTAAATTTGTTTGTACGTTTAATATTTAACAAATCGTCATTCACTTTATCAGGGGAAAATCTCCCTCGTTCAATCTAATTCTATTTTCGTAACAAATAGATCTTTTGAAGCCTTAACCAATTCTACACGAAAATGCATTGATCGGTGTTTGAAAAATTACAACTTAAGGTAAAAACATCAACAATACTTACAATTATCCGTTCAAATCAACTTTTGGCTCTATTTCGGAAATGATGTTCGCTTGTTTTTCCGTACACAACAATTTTGAAGTTGGGCGATAGTTTGCCAGGCATGACAATACTTTCTTCTATCAAAAGTTTTCATAAGTATTTTTAATAGTCTAATTTTCATTAGTAGTGTCCTCTAGTAGGTCGTATTTAATAACAAAATCTATATCTTTATTTTTGTAACCCATATCTTACTTTTATTTCATTTTCTTTTATAATAGATTGTTTTACTAACATTGATAATATTAAGAGGACACAAAGCAAGCCGTGTCTCTCACTTTCTTTGATTTAAGATTTCGAAACAGTTTAGGTATTGTTTTTTAAATTCACTTTAGGATGTCATTTCAATTGATTAACAGTTTGTTACACATGTAGCATTGTGCTCAGAAATCAGCATTTTTTTCAACAGGAAGCAAAGCAACATATTTTTGGTTTTGGTACTAGAGTTGAAATGCATTCATCGGAGGACAAGCACAAGTAACGAATAAAAGGTAATGTCAAACACACCAAAGATACCGGTGTCATGATTTATATGTAAATTGTATTAATTGCGAAGGTTTGATTAAAATATAAGATAATGCAGTATTAAACAAATAATAACGTGTATTTTTATATAATATTATCATATCTAAAAGAAAACGGGAATAGACACCAACAGGGTAAAGCCACACTCACAGAATGCAGCCACCGACACAATTCAGTCATAAACCATAATAAAATGTATATTTGATTACTACAAATTACCGATTGAAAACGTGATTGGATTTTTTCTTAATTACTTATAACAATGTCATTTGAAATCCAAAACCCTTTGTTACAATGCAAAAATGGGAATTCAGCATGCATATGATAAAATTCGCAACCACAACCAAGATCGTCTTTAAATATAAAGTATATTCATTTTTATTCGTTGTTATTTTCAATTTGTTGAATGAATAATGCAACAACTTGCTCAAACAACTTTAGACAATCTGTTAAGTTGAACAAAGACACGTGTTAGGTAATGTTCAACTGGATTGTCTGGTAAATTTTTGATAGAGTGTCATAGAGATATATTTCTTTAAATGCAAGCGATGAAGGCAAATCACTCAATAATTATTCAGACATATTTACTTACAAGCCATGCATATCTGAAATGGATTATATACATTAAGTGCTTAGCAAGTCTTTCTACTACTGTCTGCAATATAAGACACTTATTTCATTTTCAAAATGCTTTTCATTTATACTGTTTGAAATGTCATTTTAAAATATTGACATCATTTTATACGATACAGTGTGCTTAGTAATCAGTATTGTTACGAAAAATCAAAAGAAATAAGAATATTTGACTGTTTCAGATTGGAGTCTTGGTACTAAGATTAAACACGACTTGTCGCTAGATATACACAAACTTCTGGTTAAAGGTAATGTCGGGCACTTTTTGCAAAAGATTCTGGTGTCACATAAATTGTATATGAGTTGTATTAATTTCAAACGTTTGATTATAATGAAAAGGACAGCAATATTAAATATATCAATACACGTATTTTTGTATTGTATCATCAATTTTATTAGGATATTAATATACCATGAAAGAATGTTGTTTTGATGACCGAAATAATGTTTTTATTCCATGGTAAAGCAAATACAACAATGTGGAAATGAAGATGTCTTATTAAAATTGAAGTCGATTTGGTACGTATAAGTTTTATTTTCTCATAACAGGCATGACAATATCTGACACGTGTTAGGAAATGTTCCACCGTAGTATCAGGTAATTTTCTGATAAAAAGTATCAAAGACATATAAGTATTTCTTCAAATGAAAGCAGTGCAAGCAATGATTTTCATTTTTAAAATGCTTTTGATTAATATAGTTTCAAATGTTATTTTAAAATTAAGACATCACATTTTATGCAATACATTACGGACAGTAATCAGTTATCAACAGGAGTAGGTACATTTGACTGTTTGAGATTGGAGACACGATACTTGGGTAAAATAATGTTTAATATACGCACGGGGCAACGGATCAAAGGTATTAACGTGCACATTTTGTCAAAGATAAAAGTGTTACATGAAAAAAAAACTTATTTTTTTAATTTCAATTGTTAAATTATAATTCAATTGTAGTATGACCCGTTGATTGGCTTTATGAGATAAGGGAGACAACTCGGATACTCACCATTTGATAAATTGGGTTTAGGCATGGATGAGTTGGGAATTTAATCATAATCAAAACGTTAATACTACCCTGAAGCATGCTTTCTCCTTAATATTGCATTCGGTTGTTAGTAATCTAGTTAAGCAGTCATGAAGAAATAAAAACAAAGCAAAAAGGGTAAGTTGATATGAAAATACGTTCCAATAATCTGTATCACATTAATCAAAATATTATCCTATAATGCAAAAAAAAATATGATAAGCAATATTAACAAGGAAAGGCGGCTTTCACAGAACGCAAATCCTAAGAAGTAAAACATATTTTTTATGTTTATTATTTAAGATAAAAATGGTACACCCTACGCGAAAGAGAAAATCATCTGCCGGACTGGAAGACAATAATGATCTGCCGCGACAGAATAAACGACGACGGTGTAGGACACTAACATCGCAAACTAGAGCATCTGCACCTCAGTCAAAGGCACCTACATCATCACCTAGGGCACATACTGTAGCTACAACACCTAATAGACCAGCGAAATCCTCGCCTATGGCACATATATATCCGCTAAATGCACCTACACTTTCGCCTAGAACATCTAAACCATCACCAACGGTCATGGGACAACAGCCGTTGGAGCAAGGTAATGTAAATCAATACTTATTGTCAATGCTAAGTTCGGAAGTCTGTCCCCAAAAATATAAGGGAAAAAAAAGATTAAACGGTGTAAGTTGTAAATATGACCTCATTTTCGCCTAGTTATAACAATAGCGTCATACAGTGCAAAATAGAGAGAAATAAAATTTCCCCAAAGAACGCGCAAAACTCCAAAACTGAAAATGTTGCAGGCTTGGTTGGATCAGCCTGTTCATGAACGGTGATGGAATATGCAAGTTATCGTCCATGCCCAATAGCACCGGCTGAAGCAGTACATGTTTTCAACTTTTAACATGGACTTGTGAAATTTTGAATTTTAAAACATCTGTTCTCATAGGGCGTCACATGGAACCTTTAAATGTCACGGTTAGTGCCATTCTTCCTTGAAAAACGGCATTTGGGCCCAAGTAAAAAATTGCATTGCCCTAAACGAGAAAACAATGGGCAGAACTAAATTAAATGGAATTTTGAAAGTGGACCGGAGGTTATAAAGCCTGCATATCACAGATAAGCCGTCAAAAGATAAAAAAAAAACAGGCAACAAATCCTTAGGGTGATTAAACATGTGTGGAATACTGGTACCACCCAACAAGAAAATAGAAAGATCTAAAATACCACAAGTACAACAATGCTGAACAATCTTCAAGGATCGGAAATATAACATCCTTGATTGAATGTACAGGGAGGAAACTTGTCATAAAGTTATTGCTCCATTACCATAAAATAATGATAAAGTAAAGACAACAGAATTCTAATAATGTTTGTTTGTTTGTTTTTTATTTTACGCCTTTTCCCAACAGTATTTCAGTCATATAGGCGGGTAGTTTCCTAACCATCGTTCCTGGAGAGTTACACCAGTACTAGACTACCTTCCTCCGCGCTAAACTACCAAAGCATCTCCCGGGGATCGAACCCACGCCAGAGAGGTAAGTGTTCTAATAATGTCCAAACGACAAAATGTCCAAACGACAAAATTGAACATGTTGGATGCTCGGTTTTATTGCAGCTGTTTATGGACGGTAGTGGTAATTGCACGCCTTTTTGTCGTTTGTGGACAGCTCTCTTACAACCTGAATTGTAATAAAACCGGAATTGTAATAAAATTATTACAAAACTGGTTATGATGCAAAAAATTTATTACATTCAGGTTGTCAACCTGAATTGTAATAAAACCAGAAAATGTAATAAACGGTCAAAACTCAAGAAAATGTGGTAAGAAAAGTCTTTTTCACATACATGGTGTTTAAAAAATCGAATTTGGAACATGGAAGCGAATTAAAACTAAAAGAAAATACATTTCAAATTTGAAGAGCAGAAATGGTATCATAAAGTTGATGACAACCTGCATTCTTTAAAGTACTTGACATACATTTTATTCCTACGTATCAGATAGTTTGTTACATTTCACGATGTCATTTCGCTTCAGATTGTTTATTTAAGGTCTGTAGCTCGTAAATAGTTTTGGGCCGAGCTAAAGTGGCAAGGATACGGTGCTGTGAACAGAAGACAAATGGGAGGCTAAAAATGCTGTTAAGAGTTGTTTTTTTTGTATAAGGTTCGATTTCAGTCAGAGTGTTAAGGGATTAAAGTTCTTCAAACTTGTCCGTCATTTTCTTAGTTTTGAATTAACCTTTTTTACTATTTCAAAAATGACTAAGATAACATTATGCATAATTGAATTAAGACAAAAGAGATAATAACCTCTCAGTGTAAGAATATATGCGTATGCAAAGATATTCTTGAATTAGTTTAATCAAACAGGTAAGTGTTAAGAATATCACTGCGTCTTTTTTTTAGAAGAATATGTCGATTGAAAACGAGATATTTTATTTACTACAAGTGCAATTTAAACACAAAGTCACTTGCAGCATATGTTTAAATTAGAAAATACTATAATATTAAATGAATTACCATGTTCTGCTTGAATAGTTACTCGGTGCATGTGTGCAATCAGGTATAGTCCACCTTTTTTTAAAAAAAATCATTTTCGGTCTATGTCCGTCATTTGAAGGTCACTATCAATAAGTCAAAATGGATTCAATTTGAAGCAACTAATTTAGAGAATATTCCGGTGCTCTTCTATCATGTAAACGTATTCTTTCACTATGATATATTTTTAAGATTTTCAACGAGATGATAATTTGATAAGTTATACATTTCATTTATACATAACTAGCTTCAGTCAAGTTATATTCGCGCATAGAATAGATAAAAAGTTTCGTCAAATGTGTATATAGTTTTAAACTGTAGAAATGACTTTGACATTATAGGATCTTGTGAAGCGCAACAGAATATAACTGTATAAAGTGTCGCACTATAAAAATACCTTTGATTGATTGATTGATTGATTGATAGAACTTAAATTTACATTGATATATGTATTTAGGTCTTTAGGCATACTTTTATGTGTGTTAACGATTTATGGATTTTGATATTACATGGTTACATCTACTAGACATTGTTATATGTGTCATTGTTCTATTAAATTAAAAAAATCTAATCAAACAATAGACCAGCAGAAAGTAAAAGAAACAATGTGCATGATACATGGCGTAAGTGAAGAAGTTCAAGCAGTTGACAAAGGGCCAGAAAATGATACACTAGACATTGGAAAAACCAAAAACGGTAAGAAAATGGTATATGAATAGAAATGTTTTATGAAAGTTTGTATTCAGCATTGAAAACATTATTTAAAACAAAAAGTATCTTTTAAAAAGATACTCGGCCGAAATAAAACTGGTTTACTTGCATATCTTATCATGGAAACATGGAAATAGATTCATAAGGATTTTGAGCCTATTATTTAACTTAACGTTTAAATTTTTGAAAAATTAAAATCATATGCATATGTTGGCTCATACGAAATATTTCAAATTCTTTAAAAGTAAAGAAGAATGAAATAAGAACTAGATAGTATACAAACAAAACAATTTATTTCGTACTTTTTTTTTCGTCTCAGTCCATTTTTACCGTCATGTTATTGTTTATTTCTATCATTTTGAATGTTGTTTGAGCTAAAAGAAAACATTTAAGTTATTGAAGTTTAATCAAACTTTAATAGAAAATTTATAAAGTCAACGTTTTGTCGATACGAAATACCCGAATCAGAAGATTTGCAACACTTTTGAAAATAACGGGGAAAGGGCCGAAAAGTTTCGATTTGTAAACAGGATCATGGATGTAATTGTAAGTGGCGGTTTGGTTAACGTTTTACAAAATTTATAAGTCATTAAAGCAGCGTAAAATAATTTGTTTTGTTTTGTTTGTTTGTTTCATTTCAAGCCTTTTCCCAACAGTATTTCAGTCATATAGGCGGGTAGTTTCCTAACCATCGTTCCTGGAGAGTTACACCAGTACTAGACTACCTTCCTCCGCGCTAAACTACCAAATCATCTCCCGGGGATCGAACCTACGCCAAAGAGGTAACTGGATTAGAAGTCATCGACTCTAAACCCTCGACCACGGAGGCGGTAAAAAATAATCTGTAGAAGGGTGCATGGTAATTTGTAGGAAAAGGCGTGGTTAAATAAAATTTAACTTGATGGTAAAAGAACTTATGAATATAGAATATTGATAGTTCGTTCCAGAATTCCTTAAGATCAATCAAAAATTATACGCGTACACAATGTCAAAAAAATCTTTTATGTTTTTTATGCCCCCGGGCATATAGTGATTGAACCGTCCGTCCGTCTGTCCGTCTGTCCGTACGAGGTTAACCTAGAACGGCAAGTTGGATTTTTCTTAAGTTCTACCTGTACCAATGGCTGCTAAGTTTACACACTTACTAATCAATACAAAGTACATGATCTGGGCAAGTAACATAACTCTGGCTTTCATATTTACCAAGTTATTGCCCTTTTCAGCACTTAGAAAATGAATAATGGTTAACTTAAAACGGCAAGTTGGAAATATCTTAAGTTCTATCTATACTAATGGCTTTGTAATTTCCACACTTACTTATCAATACAAAGTACATGATATTTCCGAGTTATATAACTGTGTCATCCATATGTCCCAGTTATTTCCCTTTCTTCACTTTGAAAATAGGGCCTTGTCTGGTTAACCTATTTCGGCAAGTTGGATTTATTTTAAATTTCTCATAATTGCTTAATTTCTTTAATGATATCTTTCATATTTAGTAGGTGGATACCTTTGATGGTCCTCTAATTTTTTGTGGAGTAAGCGGTCTCTAGGGTCAAGGTCAAGATCACTGGTTTAAAAAATAAAAATAAACATTTTTGCTCATACAGTCTTTATATTTTAGTTGATGTTTTAGTTTAATACAAAGATGCCAAGGGAGGTCCTCCTTCTTTGGGTGTAGTAATGGGTCATTTGGGTCAAGGTCAATGTTACCAATGTCAAGGTCACCAATGTTAAAAATAGATCTTTACAGGTGTATTGACCATATTCTATAGACAGATGTTATTTATAATTGATAGAAACATAAACTTTGATGGAGTTAGTGGTCAGTTGGGTCAAGGTCACCAGTGCTAAAAATAGATTTTTACACATTTGCTCACACAGCCTTTATTAAATGACAGATATATTTTATATTTGGTAGGAAGATAACTTGCATGGTGATCATTTTGATTGGGGTAGGGATCAGTGGGTCAAGGTCACTTTTTTCTAAATATAGATTTTTACACTTTTGCCCATACAGCTTTTATTTATTGACAGATGTATTTCATATTTGGTAGGAAAATAACTTGCATGGTATTCTTCCTTTGGATGGAGTAAGGGGTCAGTTGGGTCAAGGTCACCAGTGATAAAAACAGATTTTTACACTTTTGCCCATACAGCCTTTATTTATTGACAGATGTATTTCATATTTGGTAGGAAGATAACTTGCATGGTATTCTTCTTTTGGATAAAGTTAGGGGTCAGTTTGGTTAAGGTCACCAGTGCTAAAAATAGATTTTTACACTTTTGCCCATACAGCCTTTATTTAATGACAGATGTATTTCATATTTTGTAGGAAGATAACTTGCATGAAGTTGAATATTTTTCATCTTCGGAGCAATGTCTTGGCAACTTATATTTTTCACAATTACAAAATGCTATGACTTTGTCAAGCTATAGAACTTGTGTTTACAAATTTTTGGCAATTTTTCTGTCCATAACTGAGTGAATGGGTGAACATTTTTTGAAATATTGCTACTGACAAGAATCTGAGCCGGGGGCATTTGTGTTTAACAAACACGTTCTTGTTTTAGTAATTTTATGATAGTCAATCAGATTCCGATATATATTCAGTTCTTCCCTGTGAATTTTATAGGGAGTCCAGTCGGCAGACGGCGTCCGGCCGAATATGACACATAAAAATTATCAATCTTAAATGTTGTTTATGACAGTCGTAAAACCTTCTATCTCCGGTAGGAACTACATACATGTTTTAGGAAGTTTAATAGCTAGCAGCCGACAACATTTGCATGAAGAATTATGACATCCCAGGCCAGATAATTGAATGTTAATTAAATTTAATGTGAAAATACTACCTTTGTTTGTAGTAGTTGATATATACATTACAATAAGCTCATGTATATGCCTTGGGTCTAGATGACTTCAAATTAATATTTTAATCGTTTTTTCTATAGGTTCTTCGAGGTTTGATAACTTTGTTACATAAGAAGAGTTTAATTCTATAGAAGCAACATTATACTAAGGATAACATTTCTCATAACTGAGTATTCTTATGTTGAAAATAGATTGTTTTTATGTGTTAATTGTATTAGTTGTCCTCTTTCAGAAATATTGTAAAAATCAGTTTCTATTGGAAATTTAATCTAATCCCAGCTTCTATTTATAGTAACACTTAGCCTTTAAAACATTTTTCGGAACCAACAAAGGGAAAACGATAATATTATGAACGTTTCATGCATAACTTAAAACGGTATCAGTATCGCGCGTTACACTTACAAGTTTATTTATGTGTCATACGGAATAACATAACAAAAGGCATGTGGGGAAAATTTAAGGAAACTAGTAAATAAACTTTAATAATTTACATATTTCAATATCATTTATTCTTACTTCATTCTTTTTAGTGAGCATTGACATTTAATCCTAAAATTCTACAGAGAATTTAACTTCAATGTAGCCGAGCTAAATTGCTCTGTGCATTAACCTGCATGATCATTTGTATTTAGGCTATGTCAAATATTCGGTTTTTTTTTCTTCTTAACTACGAAAATGCGGGAACATGAAGATACGACAAAATCCAAAAATTTTGGTATCTTTATACCAATTAAACATCTCTTATGTGTCGTATCTTTGCATATTCGTATATTCCATTTTTACGCCTTTCGGTTTAATTTGCAGTTAACAGTTTGGTTCATACGCGTTGTTGCAATATCGTAATTTGGCATTGTTGTATAGCCGCATTTTTGCATTGTTGCTTTGAGATTTTTGCTTTACGGCATATAGTAGTGCATATACAGTAATGGGGATGTGAAAAAACGGCAGATATTTGCTGATTATTGGTACATATTTCAATAACAATTGTTTGGTCAAATTCCCACAAACATAACTGAAATACTGTTAAAAAGGATTGTTCAACCTAACGTACATAAATATAAGAAGAATTACATATCTATTTCACTATTTGCATTAGCTCTCATATATAGTATTGTATTGTGTACTGAAAAAAATAAATATAAAGGAATTTCACATGGGTCTCAGACCTGAAACTGTTACATCATATGTTTTAATAAAAGAAATTCTCCGTCACTCTATGAAAATAGCATAATTCTGTACAACAGTTATTAGGCCATATTCATTTAAGAATCGTCCATTTAAATTAAGATGTTGTAATTATTTCATTGTCGCTCTCCGCTTTACATCATAACTGCTAGGTGTCGCTGCCAAATTTCCATATCTAAGAACGCAGTTGATGGAAAAGACGCAGTCAATTAAGGGTTCAAAGAGTAAACGCTGTTTTTAAAGGACAAAATGTGTTTGAGAAACATTAATTAAATTTACTTTTTATTTTATTTTTCTCCATGTAGCAAAACTTTGTCAGAATATCGACACAAGTGACAAAAATCCCTTTGAGTGAGTTTTGTATATACTTTATTTGTTATTGCATTTGTTTATAAACATTTTTAGCATTTGTAGCAAACTTGTAATATAACAAATAAAAAGATCTTTTAATTTGAATAATTTTTATAAAATGAACGTACAAGAAGAACTGATAAAATATTGCTTTAAACTAAAGAATAGCTTTCTGTAAAAGGTACAAGTGTTATTTTCTATTATTTTAGATATTTATCTGTCGACACAAATGAAATATGGCATTATAAAGTACCCTTAAAAAGATTGCCAAGAAAACATCGTCTACATGGGCTTGTTGGAACTCTTATAGATTACAGTGAAGACATTGAAAAAGAATTAGGACTTCCTAATATGGACGAATCAGGCATGGAACACCTGGACGATATTAATATGTTCATTCAGAACAATACTTTTGATATGAAACTGCTCATTGAAGATCGTGAAGATCTCTATCGCACGAATACTGAAATTAGTCAAATTGCAAGTAGAACAAAGAGTGTTGCTAGAAGCAAAGCTGTTGGTCTTTTTGTGAAAACCGAAGGTATACAATTTGTTGAATCAGTGACTGACAGTACTATTTTTGTATATTCTGATTCTCAAATCAAAAAAGAAAAAGAGCACGCGAACGCGATAAGTAGTTTGATGGAAGTCACCATAATGAGACCATTGATTGGGAAAGTTGCAATTTTTCATAAACTACTGGGCATAGCTTATTCTCAAAGAAATAGTGAAGACATCTCTGCATCTGCAATTGTAAAGGAGTTTCCGTATCTCTATTCTAATTTATCTCCCTCGTCGATAACAGCAATTGAGACAAACAGTTCAGGTAATGCTTCTTAGTCTTATATATATATATATATATATATATATATATATATATATATATATATATATATATATATATATATATTATATATGGATTTATATTCAATCAACACATTGAAAAACACATTTTCCTTTACTAATTAGTTTCATGCGCAAAACGCAATCTTCAGAAGTGTAAATGGTAGTTCTCAATAAAGGGACGTAACTATGAAGTGTAAATGGTGGTTTCTCAATAAAGGGGCGTAACTATATTAATACTGTTCATTTTTTAAAAGTTGCTTAATAGATATTTCCTGGAATGTCTGCAGGTTGATACAAGTTCGTTTCTTTTGTTTAAGTTTAGCGTTTTCTTGTTTGCAGATAATGTAGAATTTCTCCCATAGGCACAAGTTGCATCGGTCGGAGGCTGGGTTGTAGGGTGAGGCTTGTTTTAAGATATTCCATGTTATGTTAAAGTCGATGTTTTCTTCTTTGAGTTCCCAGATATATTTACTTAATTCAGTGCTGTTTTTAGCTTAGGATTTCTAAATGATGCTTTGTGGTTTGTAAATCGGGTTTTAAAGGTATTTTCTGTTAATCCTACATAAGTTTGTTTAGGCTTGTCGTCGTTTGTTTCCACTGTAGCTCTATATACAACCGATTTCACCAAACATCGTCCTGACATGGGGCAATCTATTATTTTCCTACAATTGCATGTTTTAGGCTGATTTTTTTACTATTTCTTTGGAAAGAATAGCTTTGTTATGTCCGTCGATTATGTTTTTTATATTGTTCATGCAACTATAACTTAATTTGACTGTGTTTCTATTGAATATTTTGTGTAGCAAGTGTTCTTTGGGAAATTCTTCGTCTAGTATTTTCAGAAACGTTTTTCCAATGTTGGTTTCTACATTTTTACTATATGGTGGGTTATACCAGATTATGTTTCTGCTTCTGTTTTTGCGATTCTTGGTACCGTTGTCAGTCTTTTCTTCATTTGAGTATTTAAGTTGGTGTTTATATCCACTATTTGTAATAGACCTTTGGTAGATTGGTGTTGCTATGTCAAAAGATTCTTGGTCATATGATATTTCGCATAGACGTTTGTTAATGCCTATGGGTATGTTCTTGATGATATTCGGTGGGTGGTTCGATTTGGTATGCACATATAACGGTGTGTTGTTCGGTTTGTTGTATGGAACATGTTTGCCGTTCTTCAGGTTGAGTGTTACGTCCAAAAAGTTCACGATTTTTTTGTTGGATTCAATTGTAATCTTCAGGCCGTGTTTAGAAAAGATAGAGCACAGGTCTTTTTTAATGTTTTCAATTTCACGTGGTTTCGCATCAGATACACCTAGACCATCATCTCGATATAGCCCAAAGTTTTTTCCATGTTTCTGTGTTATTTCGTTAAGTAAATATAATCCAACTAACTCACAAGTTTCTGCTCCATCGAAGCTTCCCATGGTTACGTCAAATAGATTGGATGTCGCTTTCTTGCCCCATGGTTCACCTGACTTGTAAAGGCATGATTGTTTTGCATGTATAATGATTTGTCTTTCCTCAGAACTGATGTCGTGGTATATTGACGCGAAATCGAGTGCATTATTTAGCAGTTCGGCTGAAATTGAAGGGTAGAAATCCACTACGTCGAATGCTATGAAATAGTATTTTTCTTACTGTTCGATGTTGTTAAACCATTTTAGTGTGGCTGCTGTGCTTTTCCATTGGTTTAATCCTGTTTTATCTTCTATTTTTGTGTTAATATTATCAAGTATCTTTTTGCTAATTTTTCCAATTTCTGATTTTGCTGGGTTGATCAAACGGCAAGTAGGGTTGTTGTTAAAGTTTGGTTTATGATCTTTCAGAGTGATAAAAGCTTCTCTCTTTGCTGTGACTTTAACTCTATCGTCTATGTCTAAAGTTTCTGTTATTTTTTTGTTTTGCATTTCTATTTCTGACACGGTTTCGCTGTTTATTTTTTTGTATGTTTTTGTGACATTCTTGTGTAGAAGTGTTTCATACGAGTCAGTATCCATTGTGTAGTAGTTGGTTGTTTTGTCAGCAGGTACTAGCAGTTTGTCATTGTTTTTGATTTTAGTTCTGATGTCGGTTTGCATTTTTTGTTGAAATCTGTCTTTTATTTGCCGGAATTTGAGATTTTCTATCATGTTTAGTAGTTTGTTTTCAAATTTTGCCGTTTCTAGAATCACCGGTGGTGTTTTAGTTGAATTGAATCCGGAATTCTCCTTCTGTTTGGGAGTGGCGTTTGGGTTGAGGTAGAAGAATGCCTTCCATCTCATTCTTCTACAGAGGTGTTCGGTCTTTTCAATTAATTTTCTTTTGTAATTATCCTCGGATGGGATAGGGATGTTTTTGGTGGAATAATCAAATGTTGTCGATTCCATGTCGTGGGTGTGATACAAAGAGTGCTCTACCTGCTGGGAGCTCTTGAATAAATCCAATAACACTAAAAGTCAGTACAAACCCTAGACAGAGTGCTCGATGGTATCCCAGAGCTGTATGTATGGATTTATATTCAATCAACACATTGAAAAACACATTTTCCTTTACTAATTAGTTTCATGCGCAAAACGCAATCTTCAGAAGTGTAAATGGTAGTTCTCAATAAAGGGACGTAACTATGAAGTGTAAATGGTGGTTTCTCAATAAAGGGGCGTAACTATATTAATACTGTTCATTTTTTAAAAGTTGCTTAATAGATATTTCCTGGAATGTCTGCAGGTTGATACAAGTTCGTTTCTTTTGTTAAGTTTAGCGTTTTCTTGTTTGCAGATAATGTAGAATTTCTCCCATAGGCACAAGTTGCATCGGTCGGAGGCTGGGTTGTAGGGTGAGGCTTGTTTTAAGATATTCCATGTTATGTTAAAGTCGATGTTTTCTTCTTTGAGTTCCCAGATATATTTACTTAATTCAGTGCTGTTTTTAAGCTTAGGATTTCTAAATGATGCTTTGTGGTTTGTAAATCGGGTTTTAAAGGTATTTTCTGTTAATCCTACATAAGTTTGTTTAGGCTTGTCGTCGTTTGTTTCCACTGTAGCTCTATATACAACCGATTTCACCAAACATCGTCCTGACATGGGGCAATCTATTATTTTCCTACAATTGCATGTTTTAGGCTGATTTTTTACTATTTCTTTGGAAAGAATAGCTTTGTTATGTCCGTCGATTATGTTTTTTATATTGTTCATGCAACTATAACTTAATTTGACTGTGTTTCTATTGAATATTTTGTGTAGCAAGTGTTCTTTGGGAAATTCTTCGTCTAGTATTTTCAGAAACGTTTTTCCAATGTTGGTTTCATTATAATAATAAAACCCGATTTACAAACCACAAAGCATCATTTAGAAATCCTAAGCTTAAAAACAGCACTGAATTAAGTAAATATATCTGGGAACTCAAAGAAGAAAACATCGACTTTAACATAACATGGAATATCTTAAAACAAGCCTCACCCTACAACCCAGCCTCCGACCGATGCAACTTGTGCCTATGGGAGAAATTCTACATTATCTGCAAACAAGAAAACGCTAAACTTAACAAAAGAAACGAACTTGTATCAACCTGCAGACATTCCAGGAAATATCTATTAAGCAACTTTAAAAAATGAACAGTATTAATATAGTTACGCCCCTTTATTGAGAAACCACCATTTACACTTCATAGTTACGTCCCTTTATTGAGAACTACCATTTACACTTCTGAAGATTGCGTTTTGCGCATGAAACTAATTAGTAAAGGAAAATGTGTTTTTCAATGTGTTGATTGAATATAAATCCATACATACAGCTCTGGGATACCATCGAGCACTCTGTCTAGGGTTTGTACTGACTTTTAGTGTTATTGGATTTTATATATATATATATATATATATATATATATATATAGTGTAATATTCGTATTAATTAGTAATGTGAACAAAATTTCCCATTGGTCACCTATCATTTTAGACAGAAACAAAATGTATGTCACATATATAACCAAATTTTAATGGTGGTAAAATAATGCCTTCTAATCACGTAGACCATATGTATGTTAATTGTCAACTGATTTTGGGAAATTCAGATAAAAAAGTTCCTTGCCAAACTGTGAATTTGAATGACAACGAAATTCAAATTCATATGAATCATTCTTACTCAGACACAGTTTCACAGCATTGTGAATGAATGCCATTTTACTTGATAACATGCCGCAACCTAGGTATTTTTCAATTTACCACTGCTTGTTTGTTTCCTCTCTACGTACAATTATCTTATCAACATGCAAAAAGTGTTAAAGAACAAATATAAAGTTTGATTCTAGATCACTTTTCAATAGCCATAAACACTAAAAGTTCATTTTTTTCACAGACGAATTCTTCAAATGCATCCAAGAAAATAAAAGCAACATTGAAAGAATGTTAGGTGAAATGATAGCACTAGCAAATAGAAGCGGTCTCCCTGAAGAAATTATGCCTGTAATTAAAGAGTATCAGACAGCAGTTGTTAGTAAAGAGGTATTATTTCATGACCCATTTAAATTTACATGTAAAACATTTTTTTCAAAGATACTTAAATAAAAATTTCCAGGTTTTTGTAACTCATGTTTGAGTTGAATGTATTTTCTCCAATAATGATGTCTCTATGTTCTTGTTGCTCTGTCTTACTTTAAGGCATCGAGTACTTTGGTACTGGTCATTAGGCTGTAACGTTTTATACATATTTACACAATCATGTATGTGTTTTATTTATTTCGTCTAATGTAACTATGACCAATGTTATATTTTCACTTGGCGGGAAATGATTTTATTTACTTTTATGTGCCATTTAGGAACATAATCGGGCTAAGAGTGAGGTTTGGCGCGCCTAAACCCGGTTTAAACTCCCCAGTGGTTTAACTACCACTGGCCGTTCTAAGGTGGTACCCCTTTGTGTTCCTTCATGTGTTTTTCATGTCTGTATTGTTACTTATTTTGGATGTTTGCATGTTGTGTGATGTCTGTCTTGTTGGATTGTCGGTGACGGTAGGTATTTTCTCTCACACACAGCCCTCTCCCTTTTTTCATCCCTTCATCCCTCCCCCATTTTCACCTTTACAGACCTTATCCCTTTAATTCCCATATGGGTAGTTTTTTTTTATTTCACACCTTACATGTCCTTCTACTTTCGACGCCGTTGTGTCCACTCCCGGTCTTGGTTTGGTGCCTTCTGGGTGTCCTGCTTGGGTGTGTCGGGAAGCTGGGTCCTGTGAACGTTGCCTTTGTCTGGTGGATCTTTATTCTTGTTTTTGTTATGTAACAAAATTGTACTTAAAGGATAAAACAAACAAAAAATGAAGAAGACACAGATGGATTTAAAATCACTATATATTTGTATTCATTAAAGTGCATAAACTTAGGTTAATTATTGTTAATAACTCAAGAATTTGTAACAGAAATTTGTAACATGAACCACAAAATTTTTCAAAATATTTCAAAAGATTAAGATATGGATCTGGACTTTCAATAAAAAAATATTTATCAATGTGACCTTGACCTTTGAGGTAAGGGTCAGTTTTTTACGCATTACAAATTGTCTTTTTATTGTGAACATTTGTGCCAAGTATCTTCAAAATCCCTTAAAGGACTGGACACGACATATACCTCGAACAGACAATGTTGAGCTTTATCACAAAGTGCGACCTTGACATTGAAACATGCGTCCGGTGGCTACGCATGACACGTCGTCTTAAACTTTTGTGCCAAATATTTTCACAACCCCTTTATGGATAAGAAAGTTAAAGACTTGACACAAAATATATCCTATAACAGACCATATTAAGCTTTGAGCTCTATGTATGACTTTGACCTTGGAGGTAGGGTCTAGGTGTTGCACATGACGCATCGTTTTTTTTTGGTGAAAATTGTGTATTTTCAAAATCCCTTGAGCTATTAAAGAGTTATGGTCTTGACACAAAATATATCCTATAACAGATCATGTTAGTTTTTTTTATTACCCCTCACTTTTTTGTAATGCTAATTTCCCATAGGCCTCTGGGAGTTATGTTTACTGTTAATGCAAGTGTACCACGTGACTAAGAATTTTGTACTGTTACAAAGGTAACAGTATTTTTAAACAGTATAAAATCTGGTCACGTGGTCTATTTTGTTTGTAAATAAAATGAAATTAAATAGCCGCCACTTTTTTCTCGATTCATTCTTATTTTCGTCGTTAAACCCCGATAGGACATCAATTTCTTCTCTGGAGTATCTATGACACCCATAAAATTTAGTATTTCGCACCCTGCTGTGCTTTTCGTGTATAAAATATCTTTTTGTTGAATAGTCAAAAAGTGAACATCCGTTTTCAACGGAAGTACTTGCAATGTAAATAATTAATTGTCAAACTGGAACATGCAGACGATTTAAGCATGCAACAAAGGATTATTTAACAATTTTAATCAGTGAAACGTTACAGAGATGGAGGACAGACATAGGATATCATCATTATTTTATTAAAAACCATGCTCAGAATATTCTGGAAACAGAAGGATCAGATTTCACAGATCATAACCGTGTAAATGGGTTAGTGTTTTATTCTCTAAATAAAACCTAGCTTATTGTATGTTTATGATTTGTAAATATCATCACTTGCATAAAGAATAAAAGAAAAAGAAAACTCCCCAAGTAGGCCTAAAGTACACTTAAAACTTGAAAGGTAAGGACAGTTTAGTTATCATTGTTACTATTGGTTTATTTTTGTTACAGTTAGATTTTGTTTAAAATTTCAAGATCATCGCAGTATTTTTGTTCGGGGTAATAAAATAAATAACACATGGGTTTGTGAGTAACAGTAAAAATATCATCTCTCGTAAAAAACAGTATTTTCCTCGGGATGATATTTTTACTGTTACCCACAAACCCATGTGTTATTTATATAATATATCAGTGTGACATTGACTTTGAATGCAGGCGACTGGGTGTTTTGTATGACACGTTGTCTCATTATTGTGAATATTTGTGCCAATTATTTTCAAAATCTTTTGATGAATAAGAAAGTTATAGACCGGACACGACATACAGCCTCAAACAAACATGTAATCACCAAGTGAAATCTTGACCTTGGTGGTACATGTGGTAGTGGTCCGGATGTTGCATATTACCCACTGACTTATTATAACACACATTTGTGTCAAATCCCTTAAATAATTGGCATATTTATGGACCGGACACGAAAGTGTGATAGACGGACAGACTGACTGACGAAGTCCATTTCTATATTCTCCCTTTTTCTTCGAAAAGTTGAGGACAAACATGTATGTGTTAGTGGGTTAGTGTTTTATTCTCTAAATAAAACTAGCTTATTGTATGTTTATGATTTGTAAATATCATCACTTGCATAAAGAATAAAAGAAAAAGAAAACTCCCTAGTCAATATCATCACTTGCATAAAGAATAAAAGAAAAAGAAAACTCCCTAGTCAATTTCAGATCATCGCAGTATTTTTGTTCGGGGTAATAAAATAAATAACACATGGGTTTGTGAGTAACAGTAAAAACCTGTTTTTGTTTGGGGTCCGCCTGGGCTCCTTGCCATTGGTTCTTGTTGCTGGGTCATATGGGGGTTGCGTTCATTGAACGCCGCCTTTCCTTGTTGATCTTGTTTATCATATTTTAACATTCGTAGACCGAATTAACCTCAGTTGACATGCAAGCTATACGTTTCTCGCATTATTTTCTTCCATTCACTAGATAGAGATTTTTATACTTATTTCATAACTGATTATAGGTAGCAATGGACCTTTTCAAATTAGACACGGCCATTACATGGTGTGGATTTCGATACCGCACATTTCACATATATGTAAAGCATAATGAATCCGAGGATAAGGAACTTGCAGAGAAGATTTCCAAATTTGTAGCAACTCATGGGATTATGAAATATGAGGTAATTTATATTGATGGCGATTTAGAAGAATACAGCTATATAGGTTCGATGATAAGTCCTAAAATTCAAAATTCCAAAGAAACAAAAAGCAAAGGTCAAGGTAAAGTTCAAAGGAAAGTTCAAGGTGGTGCTCAGAAGAAAACTGAGGACCATCATGCCACTCTTGGATGTTTTGCAACATTCAAACAAGGCAATTGCTCTTCTATTTGTGCACTGATTTCAAAGCACTTTGCAAACCATTTAGGAAATGGAATGTTTGATAAGGATATCAGACTTCTGGGAAGAGTTATACCCGTAACACTAGATCAAGGACATTATGACATCGCTGCCGCTAAGATTGTGGATGACCGAGTGCTCAACTTAGATACCAATTTTAGAAATTATGATGGTGAAATAAAACGTGCAATCCTAGTTGATGTGAACAAAGCTATGCAGGTTAGTGATTTTCACGTTTGACCGCTATTTTGGAAATTTGGGAAATATAGCTATCAGCGTTTGTATGTCTATATGAATTTGATTTTGATCAATAACGGAAATTTTGCTTAAACATAAAATATGACAAATATAAAATAACTCCATTATCTAAAAAGTAAAGTTTAATTGTTGTGCAAAAATTTCTCATTTACTTAAGCAAGATAATCTCCTATGTAAACGCGGTCTACGCTGAATAACTTTCGTATCATTCCACTCGCTAATATTACAATTCAAAGTATATATAGTGCATATGTATATAAACATAAAATAAAGGTCACAATAATTAATTATGCTTTTGAAGAAGAACACTAGTGTTTCTCTTCTGACAAGGCTGAAACAAACGGACTTTCTGTCTGTGTCTTTTAGATTATTGTTTTAATTAAAATCGGCTTTAAGTATACCAACAAAATAGTTCCGCATTAGCTTTTCAGATATAAGACATAAAAGTACGCGCATGTTATTCATTTCAAGTTGATAATATTCATGTCCTTTCAGAATCAAGCTGTTTATCTAAGAGGAGCAAAGACTAAATTAGGCGTAGGGACAATAGAAATACCATTCTTTATAAAGTCCGATGGAAAATATTATATAAAAGTAAAACCTGGAAGCTTAGAGCATAAGGAACCATGTGGCAGATTAGCTGAAGAAGGAGATAGCGGTGCAATACTTTGTTATGATGACCTTGATCAAAATCTCAAAGTCTGTGGAATGCTTATGGGCAAATGTTGTGAAGGTGAATCCTACTGTTTTTTACCATTGTCACATGCTCTGGAACAGTTAAACGAAAGTACAAATGGAGAGTTTAAGCTAATAACTCATATGGAAAACTCTCCTGCGCAAATTCACGCAGTAGGAGACTATTTGCAAGCATCTGGATCTTGTAAATACCTTACAGACTGATCATAAATTTAAAATTAAAAAAAAAGACATATCAAGAGCTATAGGGACAAAATCGAGTATGTTGCTCTTTCCATTGTCTCAAATAACAATCAAATCTCATTTTACTGTTGTTTACATTTGACTAGTTTAGTTGTTAGCTCACCTGAGCATTAAGTGCTTATTAGATATGGTTTTTAATATATCGTCCGTCGTTCGTAGATATCAAAACATTCTCCCCTTTAAGCAGAATTTCGATTTTGACAGCATTTCACTGAAGTTATTCCTAGATAGCCCTTTACAAAGTTTAGATACTTGCTTCCAGTGAGAGACATAGGTAGGTCAAAAGAGCTTAAATTATACTTTCAAATTGTATCTAAATCAAAACCCTCAAAACACACCAAATGTGATCTTATAACCTACTTCTCCAGAAGTGAAAAGGTGTTCCAGAACTTTAAATTTACCAAATACCACAACTTTTAACTGATGAAGTTTGTTTGTGCCCAATAATTAGCTAGATTTTCTTAATTCTAGATTAACTGTTAACGATTTTAAGTTGTAAATATTAGCGGTGACCCACGCTTATTTACTGGGGTATGGTCAGAATAAATATTTGTACTACAATTGGAGGATATAATGGCCATTATGGCACATGTACGAGTATATTGTTACCAATCATAGAAAGAAACGCATTGTGCAATAATGCATGGAACATGTACAATTATCAATGCTGTAAGTAAAAGAAAGCAAAATGAAATAGTAATATTCAAGAAAATAATTTAATTATCAACTATTGTATCGCACTCACGAAGAGCATCCAACATTTCGAAAACCAAAGCTCCAAATGAAAGGTCGGAAGACAAAACTTTGGACGGCCATAACCAGAAACAAAACCGACTGTGTCACATGGAACAACAGGAGAGACATGAAATCATATTTCAAACTTTGGTTTTATGCTGTAGTGTATATTTAGTTTTTAGATGATCTATTGATTTGTGTAACTGTTGTATGATGTAGCTCTATAATAATGAGTTTTAGTATGCTATATTGAATAAACTTGTAATCTATGTGCGCTTTAAAATATGTTATGTTCATAGTAGAATAACTGTTCTACATAGAAAGATTTTCTTATCTTGTATGATATGATGCTGTAATATGTTGCTAATAATATTGAGAATTTAATAACGAATATGTCTTGGTCTCTGTGCGAATCGATCTGTGTGATGCTCATATGAAACCACTAATACGCGGTTATGTGGTATATCAAACGGGTCAAGACACGCTAACATCCTGCCTCTTCATCATTGAACAAGGACCCACTCGCACTTAGTATACGATGTAGAATCACGTTTACCGTGGCCATTTTAAATATGTATATATATTGGTAGCCTAATATTAGCCTAATACTAGTAATACATGTTTGACGAGATGATGAGTGTATATTTAAGAACAAGATAAATAAAATCATGTTATGCAAGCCTCCTTTTTCTTCGTTGACATTAGCACGCTTTAATGTTTGTACATATCGCAAATGAGTCACGTCAAAGTGTTATTTCACTTGTGTAATATCGTTTATATTAAATGGGTTAATTACATGTACACTTCAGCGCCGTGGCTTATGTGAAAAATATAAATAACACAGGGCAGTCGGTGTGATAGTGGATATTATCAATGACTCTAGTTCAGATCTACTTATTTCTTCCATGTAGATATGATGACGACCGTTTCTTTATCATTCGGATATCCCGCGAAAGCTTTTTTTCTACTCAGTATTGTTTTTCCAAGGGTTAAAATTAGAAACCGTATCGCTTTTCAAAATAATGATTGATTGTTTGAAAGACCACGAGAAGGTGACTGCCTATGGGTGAATGTTAGTAATTTAGGAGCTGGTTTTAGTTTAATTGCCAAAGTACTGATATACTACGGGTTGACAATATCCACTTGTCAGCAATATGTTAACCATCTTATATCTTATATAAAAAAAACCTGATATACATACACAAACAAAAAAATACTTGCAAAAAAAATTTCCTCTGTAAAATTTTTACTAAAATTATAACAAAGAGTTAAGGGGGCATGTTGTGTTATGTGCCACAGGGTGATATAATTCCATTAATATTCATGTTAGAATCACAACTTTCGATTTAGATATCATTGCATCGTTGCTGTTTTTCTCTCCTTTTTTTGTGGTGGTATTTCTGTATTTTATAGGAAGCTGAGATATTTGTATGGTAATAGTCAATATGTGATTATTTATAACTTTGATCTCTTTGTGATATAATCTGTTTGATTATCGTTAGTAGAATAACAATTTTGATTTATTCATATAAATATATATCGTATATCATGTATATAATTTTTCAATTTTGTATGAATATGCCACAGTATTTTTGAAAAGTGAAACCGCATTTGATTTCTGACTGTTCTATGACAAGGTTTCAATTACAAAATAATCTTTAATTATTTTTTTGTTGTTTTACGTATCTGTCTGTTTTACATACCTATTCTTTAATGCCGCTTTTTAAATTTTTGCATGATGTAATGCTGAGATGGTTATTATATTATTCAGTATGTGATACATTAGAGTTTTTATGTCTGTGTGATATAAACCCTTGTACATTCGTGTTACAATACTTAATATTTGATACCAGGCCTCGACATTTTGCGGTGGTCCGTTGGTCCGAAACCACCTTATTTTGGCAAGGACCACGATATTTTAAAAGCCACTGGTCCGGTGGACCTCTTGGATTTTCTTGTTGGTGCAAAAATGGCGATTTAGACAAAAAAGGCATGTTTACTTATAAACTTTTTGTTTAAAATTATTTGTTCTTAGTACATGTATATGGTTCATTAATCTCTGAGAAGGTAAAGAAGTTGTTAAGTCATTAATAATTGTTATTTTAAGTCGCTAAATTTCGTTTATTCATGTTAAAGGAGTTAAGAATTTGTGATTTTAATTTTGGTAGAAAATTCATTCAAACGATGCTAGTTATTATGATATCGGATGAACTTAAATTTCAGATACGTTAATAATGGCAGCAAAAGAAAGGAAATGGAAAAATATATCTTGTTATTCTTTTCTTCTTATCTTTTTTCACGATAAGAGATCCATTTTTTTCCAGAGTAAAAAATACTTTAAAAGGTTAAAAATACTCAACGTCAAAAATCAATAAAAACCAACAAGCAACAGGGAAGTAAAAATTCTGTATTCAGAATAAATCTGTAAGAAAGATAAGCAAAACTATAATCATATATAATGTTGGTATTTTTTTAATCCTTAAGATATTGCCTTGTTTTCAAAAACAAGAATAAGATAATGTATAAGTTTTATTTAAAATGTTAATATATAAAAGATACATGTAATAATGATTATAAGATGTACTATGTATCAGCAATGGATATTTGAAAACAGTAAGAAAATAACAGACACAAATAGGTGTCACTATTCTCTAACTTGAGTTGAGGGAGAAGTCACTTCAATATAAAAGTTAACATAAATAAGAGCTATGTTGTGTATTTTTGAATGTGATAAAAAAAATACGATAGAATACCTACTGACTTGCTTTCCTTAATTACTGATAGGTGAAAAAATACATATCTAAAATATCTGTTTTCTTGTAAGGTTAATAATACATCTTTAATAATTTGTCAACAATTTTAGCATATTTTTTCTAAATTTGCAGTAAAATAAGATAATAATAACAATTGACCATCTGACGTCTTGAAGGACCACCTAAATTTCAAATCTAGTGGTCCGGCTTACAACCTGCTTTAAAAGTTAGTGTCGAGGCCTGGATTCTTATTAACGTCAATTTTAAATTTTGTGTATGATATGATGCTGAGCTGTGGTTATAATGTTATTTAGTGATGTGGTTAAAATATTATCAATTGGTGAGTTTATTATTATGCCCCCATTTCGAAGAAAAGGGGGTATATTGCTTTGCACTTGTCGGTCCGTCGGTCCGTCGGTCCGTCGGTCCGTCGGTCCGTAGACCAAATGGTTTCCGAGCAATAACTAAAGAACCCTTAGGCCTAGGAACTTCAAACTTGGTATGGTGATTGGTCATGACAAGTAGATGACCCCTATTGATTTTGGGGTCAAGGGGTTAAAGGTCAAGGTCACATTGACCTTGTAAGCAAAAACGGTTTCCGATCAATAACTAAAGAACCTAAAGGCCTAGAAACTTCAAACTTGGTATGGTGATTTGTCATGATCAGTAAATGACCCCTATTGATTTTGGGGTCAAGGGGTCAAAGGTCAAGGTCACATTGACCTTGTAAGCAAAAACGGTTTCCGATCAATAAGTAAAGAACCTTAAGGCCTAGGAACTTCAAACTTGGTATGGTGATTGGTCATGATCAGTAGATGACCCCTATTGATTTTGGGGTCAAGGGGTCAAAGGTCAAGGTCACATTGACCTCTTAGGTAAAAACAGTTTCCGATCAATAACTAAAGAACCCTTAGGCCTAGGAACTTCAAACTTGGTATGGTGATTGGTCATGATCAGTAGATGACCCCTATTGATTTTGGGGTCAAGGGGTCAAAGGTCAAGGTCACATTGACCTCTTAGGTAAAAGCAGTTTCCGATCAATAACTAAAGAACCCTTAGGCCTAGGAACTTCAAACTTGGTATGGTGATTGGTCATGACCAGCAGATGACCCCTACTGATTTTGGGGTTAAGGGGTCAAAGGGAAAGGTCACATTGACCTTGTAGGTAAAAATGCTTTCCGATCAATAACTTAAGAACCCTTAGGCCTAGGAACTTCAAACTTGGTATGGTGATTGGTCATGACCAGCAGATGACCTATTGTTTTTAGGGTCAAGGGGTCAAAGGTCATGTAACATTGACCTTGTAAGTAAAAACGGTTTCTGATCAATTAAGTAAAAACGCTTAGGCCTAGGAACTTCAAACTTTGTATGATGATTTGTCTTGACCAGCAGATGACCCCTATTGAGTTTTGGGTCAAGGGGTCAAAGGTCAAGGTCATGACCAGTAGATACTTGATAACCCTTATTAATTGTTTGATCACTGGGTCAGAAGTCATGCATAATTACCTTATCACATGAATAATTGGCTGCTGATAGGGGGCATACATGTTTTACAAACATATCTTGTTTATTAAGTATGTGATATATTAGAATCTTTGTTTTTTATCTTTGTGTGATTCACATTCATGTCTTTGATACATATTTTATGTCGCTTCTGAAGTTTTTGTATAGATGTTTATTATATTAATCAGGTTATGATACATAAGAGTTTTTGATCTCATTGTGATATAATATTCATGTAAAAATATCTGTGATTTGAAACATATAGATGTTGTTTTATATTTTGTATGATATCAGGCTTGACGTTTTGAAATATTCGATTACACTTGACTGTGACACTTATAATTAGTATACTAATTATGCGTTGTCTTCAATTTGAAGAGTATTCGAATAGGCTAGAGTTACTCACAACTGCATAGAAACTAAGAGTCATCGGTTGAAACTCCGGCAATGTTTTTTTTATTTTTAACTATTTTTGTATCTCTTAGATCATGTTATCATTAGAAGTGTAGTTCCTGCTAATTATAATGAAATCAAAACTACATGATAAAGATATGTCTATATTTGAAAACAATAACGACTTTACTGTAACATATGTTTTGGCAAACTTGGAAAACTGCACAAGACGATTTAGTGTTATTTTTAATAAGGTACCTTAAGCGAGACCATGTTCAAATAAGTATTTTTACTAAGATAAAATCACATTTATGTACATATTTCTTACATTTAGAGTAGAAATTACCATGTTATTTGTGTTGTTTGTTAGCTTAACGATTTTTTTGTAGCAAAGAGGAAAAGAATGTCAATAAGGATGATATTTCATGTTAGTTAGAAGTTTCTTATTTCTGCAAAATGTTCGAGTTTCAGTTAAAATAGAGTCCGATAGGCTCATTCTGAAGCATAAATCACACAATAAAATACATGAAAATTAAAAACCGGTTTAATAAAGTCTGTACATGAGGGATAATGAAAGAGTGTTACACCCCTCTGACACCCTAGTACCGGCTTGAGCGATACTCAATTTTCAACACTTAAATTGCTGTAATAACTGATCCCAAAGGACCAGACAGAAAAAATATAACAACACTGAAGTTAAATAAAAACCATGAGACGAATTTTGTCAAATTTTATAGTTTTTTTCATATTACCAATTTATTTACCTTTTTTCATAAGAATCTATTGTTTTGAATCTATTGTTCTTTGATTAAGAAAATAAACGTGTCGAAAAAAAAATTAAATCTCAATTGTAACAGTATAAAGATAGATATTATGTTTAACTTTTTCGTTGTCAGGAATAACAACTTAATTAAGGAGAAAAATATATATGTTTTTCGGAAATTGTTTTCCCTTAAAGTTATACCAGTTACAAGTTGCTGTTGGGATTTACCGAAAAAATATAGCCTAACTTAGGTAAATATTACACAAGGGTTATATTTATATCAGTAAGACAATATTCGTCCGTATTTCTCGTCAGTAACAGATTTATGATGATAATATAAATTATGAGTCATGACAAATTTATAGAAATCCTAAGAACTTAGGAGAAAGACTCTTGAAAAGTTAATGCCGTCAGACATTCAACGGCCACACAAACGATGCGTTATAAAAAATAATTCAAATATCAAGTCATCATAACTGTGCAATGCGTATTCAAAACGTAATAATAAATCTAATGCACAAACGTAGGTCGAAGTCTACAATGTAGATATACATTATTTGTGCGCGCTCCGAATCTATAGTGTGTCATGCTATGTAAGCAGTTCTTTTTTTTTAAAATGTTTCATTTTGTATTTATGATAAATAATTCGAGTTAAATATCTATTTTGAATCTTATGTTAAATTTTATTTGAGAATTATATTCTCCATTTCACAGTTAGGTATAGATTTATAAATTTCAAAGGATGTCTCAAATACAATAGACAAAGAATTGCAAATTGTTTGATATATTAACATCTGTTATCAGCTAAAATATTAGTTCCGCCTCTCCAGAAATAATGTTTAATAATTGGTCAACCTAATTCAACTAATAGTCAGAGAACCAATCAAAAGATCCCTTTTCCAGATTGCAGTACCATTCTGCCAAATAAAGAAATGCATGTGTAATCAAAATAATAAAAGCTGTAAAAGTGTATCCAAATGTCTCATACATGTATTTTTATATCTCGGTAAGTTATATTTCATTTTATATGTCTTTTAAATCATTAAAATGTAGTTAAGAACATTAAGCGGCTCTTATCTTAAATATTTGAAAAATATGCTATAAATTTTGCTAAGAACAACTTAAAGCAGCTTGTAACTTATATAAATGAAAATTATCTGTTTAGTTTAAGTAAATGTACGTACAACTTAGTATCATTAAACATTTAAATTTAATACCATTAAAATGTTTATGATAGATTATCATTCTGTCTGATAAAGAAATATATGTGTTAGCAAATGAAATAAAAGCTTGAAAAAAAAAGGATTGCACTTTCTTATAGTTTTATATCTAGATAGTCCGTATTGTGAAAGATCTTGCACCGAGAATTAAACAACTTAATTTACATATTAAATAGAGGATATTTGTTTGTTTTGCATGTAAGATTGAAATATAATTTCACTGAGTGAACACCAGATGCAATATTTTCACGAGTGGCGTAGCCACGAGTGAAAAATATAATAGCTGGTGTTCACGAATGAAATATATTTTAATCTTATATGTAAAACAAATAAATTTTCTTTTTATTTTATGCTTTTTAAGTGATTTTAAGTAATTGACTGAATTTGCCGCGTAACGTCGCGCATTCTCCTTCGTGACGTCATTATATCATGACGTCACATCATCAGTTTTGAAATCTAGTTCCGTTAAATTTCTCTAATTTTGTTAAATTTCTAACATGATGTATGATGAAATTGAATTTCTTTTCCTAAAGAAGCAAAATTTACGTATGACGGCATTTATTTCTGTCTGTTATTCTATTTATTTATGATTTTCTGTTCATCCTCATTCAGATATAGTCCGGCTACAGTGAAAATTATATTTTATAAATTTCACTAGTTGTTTATCAGAATATA